TCATCTAGTAAATCGGCATCATGGGAAATGTTATCCGCTACTATTGAGAAATTGTTGAACAATCCGGGACTATCGTTTGAAAGTTGTTTGGATTATTCTGATATGAGAGCTTTTTTTGACAGATTGCAAACAAAAGTTGAGAGATATATACTGGTAACTAATGTTGTTTATCTGCAAGTGAATTTTACTCTTAAAATCTTAGGTAATATTCCTTCGATTTATTTATTTTCTAATAGATGAAGTTTAAAACTATTTAATAAAGTAATGGCCTTGATGGATAACATAGTTTTTTGTGCAATAAATGAAAATAACAGATAAAAAAAGTTTAAAATTATTTAACTCCCTAATTAATTCTTTGATATGATCTAGAGCCCAAGCTGGATTGGCAAAATATATCTATAAATTGAAAAATTTTCTATTATCTTCCACCTGAAATTGCTCCAAGTTGTAAGCACAATACCAGATACAGAAGATGAAAGTAATTGGATTTGGACTCTGTTTTCCTAAAATGTATAATTTTTTTATTGGCTGAAATATAAATACACTAAAAATTCTTTTGTTTTATACAAACCATGAAATAAAAGGATCATGATGATATCGACTTTTAAAATAACACATTAAATAAATTTTAGCATATTTTTGGAATTTAAACTAACTTACTAGATGGTAATGAACAGAAGTAGAGGAATGCATATTTATTAATATTTGATTCTGCAACTTCATATTTCATTTTGAAAAAACCAAAGTTCACTAATTTAATGCAAATATCATTCGTGTTATATAGAAAATTCAGAAATATCATCAGTCCAACCCACAATTATAAATTATAGATGGATCAGTTTTAATAACAGAGAGAGAGAGAAAGGTTAACAAATGTTCACTCTATATAAGAAATATCTACATTAATTTTTTGGAGCAAATGTGTTTTAGTGTGGTAATGTAAATTTTTCCACATTATATGCAGAAAAATTGCAGAGATATTTCAAGAATATAATAGATATAATGTATCAAACATATTTAATTGAAATATTACTCAAGAATATAGAAAACAACTAATTAATCTTATAAAAGTAGATATTTTGTTATTAAAACACTGGAAAAAAATTATCTGGAAAAAGGTTGAAAAATTAATATTTTGTAAACAGTTTACTTTTAAGATTTTCCCCATTTGGGACTGACAGAGTTAACACTTAATGGCAAGAATTATAGATTGTTAATAACAAACTAAGAATGTAGTATTAAATTTAATGATTAATTGATTTTCGATATTACCATATTATAGAAATTGTTTCTGAAGTATGTTATAAAACTATCTCTTATATGCAAACATTCTTTTGGTTTAATAAAATTGAATTGAATAATTACTTAACTATTCTAAAATTTTTTTAATGAGAGAAAACAGATTAGTTCTATGGCAAACAATTCAACTTACAGGATCATAAAACAAATTAGTAAAAAATTGTACAGTATTACTAAATTCACAAAGTTTCTGGATCAGACATTATTCCACAGTACTTTTTATCTTCTGATCTAAAAAAAAATTTCTTTTTCTTCATTGACTTTTGGTTCTATATAGTTTACAACTTTTAATTCATTATAACAACAAAGTTTTAAATATCCTGTTTAAATCAACAAACTTCACTTCTCAAAAAATATGAAATCTTAAGTAAAAAATAAATGCAAATAGATCATTTAATCGAAGCAGTAAGATTTTGTTCTTTTATAAATACCTCCATCACTAATTTATATATTCAAGACTTTACACTTTCTCTATATACAATGAAAACATTCTGTATTGATTTACAAGATATAAAATTCAATCTGAAATATTAGTATACGTTTAATGTTAATTTGTATACTTCAAAAATTGCCATTATTCCCTGAAATACAACAAAAACAGATTTATTGATTAAAAAGCATTGATGTTTATTACATTCTTACAGATACTTTTAATATATTTTATTGCTATAAAAACAATGACATCACCAATTTATTAGCTTCCATTGAGTTAATATGCAGTCATTATAATAATTACAAAGATCCTGCACATATTAAAATTATATAATGGCAACAATTAAAAAGTAATTGCACAACTACAAATTCTAATGGCAATTAAAAAAGTAATCAACTATAGTAATTAAAGAAGAGAACAAAGTTTTAATATAAACTTAATTTTATTTTGTATTTAAACTTCTAATGAAATGGGTTTACTTTCTGAAACATTAATGAACAACAAATTTGACTTCTTTATAACAAAGTTGTATGTCTATTTCCAACAATAGAATCTGTTTTTTTTGGATTTAATACAAAATCATTTTCCCATCTCTTGTGAACTGCCTATATTTCTTTTTGCTACTGGAATCTAATCTAGAACCATCATTAAAAAAGATAAACTGTACAGTAGGTATGTTTATCTCACTTTAAATAAGAATATTTACAGTGTACTGTGCATACATACATTATATAAATATATATTGGTTAATATTAGCGTGTGTATATGTATCTGTTATCGAATACAAAGAAAATATATTTGTTGGTCCTTCAGTAAATATTATTCAAAGCTAGACATGTGAAAATATTATTTTAAACTTTAAAAACAGAACAAAAGTAGGCAAGTCCAAACATTTCCCAACACTAACACATTACTTTGTTGTATCATCATCATCGAACATTTATCCCTGCCACCGAAATGTTCATTATTTGTTTACAGTCAGTCTGTTGTTTAAATCCAAATTTAATCTTTATAATACCATCAATTTTTATAACTTTTCTGGCAATTCCAATAAAATGTAATCCAAAAAATTGTGATGAAAATAGCATAAATTGTTTTCATATAAAATATTTTATAAAAGAATGTAGAATAAACAATTTTGGAAACTGAAATACAAGTATCGCATTTAATGTNTATAAATTATAAATTTAAATCACTATTTATTCAACATCGTTTAAATAAATATACAATTAATCTAAATGACAAAAGAATCAACATAAGTTATCAAATAATGCTGAATGTTCGTTGTGTAAAATGATGGCAGCGATGATGGTTAATTAATCATTTGTTCACGAGCTGCGATTCTCTTTGAGTAATAAGTTTAAGATCTAATATTTTGGGATTGATTACTATTAAACTAATTTATTGAAAGAATCTTCTAGTACGATCACGTTATATAAATTGTATAAGTTTTTTGTACAATCGCTAAAACTACTGTAATAACATTACAGTATTTACTTACTCCTTGTAAAAGCAAAATGGTAAATCATAAATTTATTTAAAAAACAAAAAAAGAAAATTTAGTTTAACAAATACTTTTTCCTTTACAGATTTAGGAGGTTTGTCGATCCGAATTCCATGATAAATTAATATCAGGTAAGAGATTTACGAAATTATGTAGAATATAGTGAAATCTAGATTAATTTCTGAGTTTAAAGAGAAATGTAAAACTAAAAATTACTACACTAGCTCTATTTTTCTTAAGAATTCGAAAGAGATTAGCGTTTTGCAACTTATATATTCATACTTAATTACTTTTGATTAATTAACTTTATAAAGAAACTCCGTTTTTTGTTTTTGAGAAGTTGTTCTTTCTCGTTATTGAAACTTCATCGTTTAATCGAAACGAAATTGAATACATCTGTTCTTCATAAATAGAAATTTAATACTTTACGTTTTCTTGTATATCGCATTTTCACCCAGTTTTATTGCGAATTTATGTGCAGAAACAAAACGAAATTGAATACGTTACCTCTTTTCCTTGAAAAAAATAAATTTTTATTAGGTCGAAGTGGGTTTTCGGAATAAAATAAAGCAAATCTTTAAAGCGAACATGTAGTCATTAGAAAGAGTGATACGATAATTGGACTGCTATTTTCAAATTGCAGAATATATTCTCATTATCGCTATCAGTCCATCCTTAATCTCGAGAACGGAGTTAGATGAAAATCGAGATCAGATGTAGAAAGCTTAAGAGACGTAGGCCCGATTAACCGTATACTAACTTCCGATCTGGACCGGAAGTCACATAATTTAAATTTAAAATTTTCTCCTGGAGTTAGTTGACCGGCATGACTAGACTATTATCAGAAGTGTGTTGTACAGGATCACTAAACTCCCGACGAGACACGGAAACCCCGATTAACTATAAACGAACTTCCGACCTCGATCGGAAGTCACGCGATTTTTTAAATTTAAAAATTTCGGCCCGGTATTATGACGATGTCACAATAAATAACTGCTCGTTTGTATTTCATTTCAATTTTGACATAACAATGCACATGATAAATATTACTTGAGTACAGTACATCAAGTGGAATTTGTTTTGAAAATTTCGCATTTTTGTGACATCATACGTTATAACACCTACGATGATAATTCATTGTGCTATTTTAGTTGACGGGGATTGGGAAGACTTATTAAAAAGCAGTAAGTGGTTTCAGTTTTCTATCACTTAAATTGAATTTTTAATTTTATTTTGAGGAAAAAAATAAGCTTCTTAACGTGCCTTACTGTATTATTTCAAAGTTTTTGTTTAATATAATATAATAAACTAATTTTCACAGAAACTAAATGCCTCAAAAAAATAATGTAAATTTCTCACTTTGTCAATTAAACTTGCAGAAAACAAAGATGATGCAAAATGTTAAAACAGATAGGAAAAGCCAACTTTTCATTGTGGGGATTTCTATCAATATAATCATTATTCCCCTCTCAATTAAGTTATCAGAATTTTTTTTCTCGTGAAGTTTAAAGATTCTGCTTTAGCATTTTTATTCACATCACCAGAGTATAATTTTTAGCCTAATGTGTTCTGCCTAATGTTTTTCTCGGTATCATCATTTGTTCCATCTTTGTTGTCTCTGCTGCTGTTTCCACTTTATATGTTGCTATTATCTACTGATTTACGACGGCTGTTTTTTCAAGCTCCAATGATCCATAAAAAAGACAGGTGTAAATAACAAAATGCTTAAAAATTATAATAAACAACTGACACACGTAACTTTCATTTTTCCTTTATTCCAATTCTTAAACATTCACAATTTTTTTTAAACTTTTTTTTTTATATTTTTTGGAAATTTATGTAGTGGTAGCCTTTCTGTTTTCTGAAGGTCTATAACAAAAAACAAAATTAAAAAAGAGTACTCGTTAGTCAATATACGATAGCACAAATTTGAAATAACATCGAAACATTTGGAGCAAAGAAATTTTTGTACAAAACATATTTCTCATCGAATTTCCTATGGACGATGGGTGTCTCACTTTCACTTTCAAATATTTAGACTCATTCACACATCACACGCGCATCATTCATCCATACAAAATAAAGAACTTAAGTTTCACACGAAAGATAGCACCATTAAAATAGTTTTGCGACTTCAAAAACAGGACAGCTATTACACAATGTGACATTCATGGCAGTGAACAATGCAATTGTTGAAAAAAGTGAATTCACAAAATAGTTTGTTTCGCAACGCTTTGGAAAAGTTATACTCGCCGATTATCTTCTGTGTTTATATATTACAGTTCTATCACTTTTTTCAAGAGATACATAATGGAGGTTAAGAAATAGTTAATAATTTCGACATTTTTTGGTCTCGCCGTATTCTCGGTTCTCGACAGAATGAAAGACACTATTATAAAGAAGACAAATTAAACTCGTTAACATAATTGCAAAGCCCATTTTATCGACTGTCTTTATAAATTGTTCGACGTCGCATCTGTCGTAAGAGCAGAAATTGAGATTTAGAAGGTTAATTATTATTCCGATCATAAAAAAAATCTATTCTATTCCGGTCTATTGCTTGTCGATTATTTTTGATGTCTGAATATCAACATCTAATTTCTTCCGCGTATTATGAAATTCTGGCATTGTCCAAAAGTGATTCACCACCACTACCGTCAATTCTGAAAAGATTTCGTTTGTATTAATTGACAATCATTTCTATTGGTTAAATAATTTTAAAATAATCCCCTTACTCTGGACACGGTTTGACATTTCTTCCCGTTATTGCTCTCTCGTATAAATTGATCACTTCGGAATCATGCGGGCCTATTTTAAATTCCCATAAACAACCGTGAAATCCAACAGGATATCTGCCGGCAGTCATTAACTGATGATCTGGGACACCACCTGAATCAAAATAAACATTTAATTAATCTTATTTCTTTAAATGTCTGACAAATGGGTATTTAAAAACTCACCGATATATATATCACCGTCCGTGTTCAGTTGTTTAAGTAGTCCTTTGGAGTGTCCTTCCTGATGATCTATATGATCGACGTTTAACACGCCGTGCGATCCAAACCTATCAAATAAAATCATTAATTGACCCGCAATGCAGTTTATAAGTTCTAGGCAGAAAATCAAGTTTGAAAATTATCTAGTACGTTTTAAGCGCTTTTCAGACACTGACAAAAAAGTGACGATATAAAATAAACGGATTAGACAAAATTTATCGTAGCATTCTTTAGCATAAGTAGTTTCCTATAAGTAAGTTATTTAATATAAATAATGTAAAATCCTACTTTCCATCGCTTTTTAATTTAGTTATGTACATTTTATTGTAAAGTAATAGAATTTTTTTATGAACATCAGTTTAATTTTAGTTTTAAAGAAAACTGAATTTAGACTCATTGTGATATCAGTTATTAATTATTTATATATTAATATTGCCATATGTAAATATAACTTATGATACTTTTTATGACTGAGGGAGATACATCACAATACTAAGTCCTACACTGTAGCTAACTCCCACATTGTAGAAACAAATTACAACTATTTTATAACAATTTATCAAATACTGTAATTCTAACATGATTTATTGCAGAATTTATTTTTATTCTTAATTAAATAACATTTTAACAAATGAAACCATTCATTCTTCTCATGCATTAGACTAAACGTCTGTTGTGGTCAGTTTGCTGTCTCTTTCACTGCATCTCTGTAACGTCTTCTCTGTCACCCCTTCTGGCTGCCAATCTTTAATCTGTTTTATCGTTTTTTCATTTGTCATTCTATTGAGATGTTCTAACCATTCAATTCTTCTCTTTGACATCCAATTATTTTTTTACCTGTTTGTTACATTACTTATTTTAACCAATTGTGTTCTGCCTAATGTTTTTCTCAGTATCATCATTTGTTCCATCGTTGTGGTCTTTGCTCCTGTTTCCACTTTATATGTTGCTATTATCCACTGATTTACAAGGGCTGTTTTTTTTTTCAAGCTCCAATGATCCATAAAAAAAGACAAATGTAAATAACAAAATAAATTTATTACCAAAAGTTAGGTACAAACATGGTTACTTTTCAACATAATCACCATGAAGATTGAGACATTTGTCATATATGTGGATGAGCTTTTCAAATGACTTGAGATGGACCCTAACATGTTTTTGAAGATAGTCATTAGTGTTAAACCTCTGCCCTCATAGCCACTTTTCCTGTTCAGGAAAGAGGTGGAAGTCACTTGGAATTTTGGGGCTATACACTGGGTGTTTAAAGGTGGTGAAGACTTCCACCTCTCTCCTGAACTGAAAACATGGCTAGTAGGGCAGAAGTTTGAGACTAATGAACTAATGATGATCTTCAAAACAACATTGTTAAAGCCATCTGAATTCACTGGCAGCAACATTCTATGACAAGGGAATGGAAAAACTCGTCCACAGATATGACAAATTCCTCAATCTTCACAGTGATTATGTAGAAAAGTAACAATGTTTGTACCTAACTTTTGGTAATAAATTCATTTTGTTATGCACACTTGTCTCTTTTTTATGGACCATCATAGCTTGAAAAAAATCAGCCAACATATAAATCCTAATTTTAGTTTCTTTTTGTATGTTTTTATTGTTTCATTTTATACTATTTAATCATCCTGATACTCTCACAGCCTTCAATGTTTGTTGTCTTCATCTAAATATATAAAATTGCTTGACTGACTGACTGACTCACTCACTGATTCATCATCGCCCAGAGCAGACCGCTTAACCTAAAGAGGTGAAATTTGGTAGACAGTTAGGGTACGTCATGGAAACGCACACTAAGAAGGGATTTTTTGAAATTCCTTTGCAGGGAGAGGGAGAGGATTAAGGCTTAACTGGAACAACGGCTTCTACTGTACTATTTTAGATGCAATTTTTTGTTTTTATCTGTGTTTTCGTAGGGTATGCCATGGCAATGCATGCTAAGAAGGGATTTTTCGAAATTCCCCTGCGGGCGAGAGAGGATTTAGTCTTCATCGAGGTACTTAGGTGTATTAAATTAATAACATTTCAGACATTGTTATAAATATTTTTATCTATTTCAATTTTAAAAATGTTCAAACCATTTTAGATTCGAATTTGTTATTGCATATTGGTTCGATTATAGAACGATTGTAAATGTTCCAGAAAATTGATCAAATTGAAAATAGTTCATTTGATTCTCGGCAATTCTCATTCTCAGCGGTAGGTGTTATATAACAATTACTATGATTGTTGAAATATTGAATGTAAATGGGGTTTGCTTGCAAAACCTCTGCAGACGAAGTTGCGGATAACAGCTAGTTTAAATATATACCTAGATATTTGAATTCATCTGTTTGTTCTATCTTTTCTTCTTCTAATACATATCTATTTTTTTCTTTTCTTCTGGAAATCATCATGCATTTACTTTTTGGGCTTCTGCATAGAAATTTTCTAATATTTTTTGTCATTTCTATTCTCTGCTAACAACCATTGTAGTATCACTAATCTTTATTCCTATTTCATTTATTATATTTAGTAAGATAAACATTAAAAATATTTATAATCAATTTCAACTGTAAATTAGTGGTAAATTTCAGTAAAATATTAATTTAAAATATCAATTTTTATTTTTTCCTGTAAGTTAAAAGAAAAATCATTAATAATATAATTTTAGAACATTTAACCAGCATTTGTAATTTAGAATTTGGGCAGTGGTAATATTGGAGAACTTGATTTCTTTTTTTGTTGTTTTGATTAGAATATATAGATGCAATTTTTGTTGGAGAGAGAACTATTCTGATGGTAAAGGAATTTAGAAAATAAACCAACATACTTAACATTTTTTTGTCAATGAGTGTGTGAGATAGCAGAAATTCCTATATTAGAACTAGTCTTTAATCTTAACATTGTTCGAGAGATGTAACGATTGTTGTTCGTAGCTACCTGAGAAAGTCTCCCGTTACATTTTCTTGAAGGCAACATGACGCTTTCTCATGAACTATTAACCTCTGCACGGCCAAAATCATCTGTGAATATCGCCAGAGACAGCTGAAAAAGTCAGTCTTCATCCATCCTTCCGACACCGGAAACACGCACCATTTACTCCCAGACTATCATTGATCAGTGACCATTTTGGATACCTTGTGCCATTCTTGTGTTGGTGGATATTAGTGTGGAACTAATCACCATCAGACTATTATCACCCAACGAGAACCCCAATCTTCTATCACCAGGTATTTATACAACTCACGCTCATTATGTGAACTCTCTCTCTCCGCGACACAACCTTAGAATTCTGTATTTTTAATTAAATTCTTGTTAAGTGTTAATTGTAGTTTGAGTCACTTCCCTATGTTGTCTCTCGATCAACATTACGAATCTGTCTGACCATGTACGGGACCGCTATGAAGTGGAAATTACTGTCTCAGCTTCTGTGTTCCACTAAACACGGTGGTGTCAATCCTGACAGGGCACTAAAGAGGTGCCAACCAGAGAGGTCACAAGTGTATAATTTATGTTTTCACTAAGAAGGAGGTGTTGGTACTGAGCAAAACTTTATTAGCATGAATATAATGGCAATGATGATAAATTATTGCCAATTATCACAACAAAAAGAGACTTTCCTGTGCCACAACAGTACAATTTAAAAGATGCTTCAGTATCTTGTAAGACTTCTTATTGCCTGAATATATGTAAGCATAATGGAATATGGAATACAGGCACTATGTACTGCAACGCAGCCCACCAATGGCCAAGTAGTCTTCGTTCCCTGAACACTGGGAGTTCGGTTGTAGGTTTGCACCTTGCTTGGACAGGCTGTCCGCATGGAGTTTCCCAGGTTTTCTCCATGTCTGTAATGCCTAAATAGGGGCTAGTTTTCCTTAAAAAGACCTCCAAGAAGGCAACCCTCCTAGGCAAATTGCTCAAGTGTTGTGTTGCCATAGCTATATAAACAACAAACTATACTGCAACTGCCATGTTACTCCAGATTCCTTGTACTCATATATGGCCAAAACTGGTTTCAAAAATGCTCGAGTGAAAAATCTGGAGACGGAGCAGGCCTAGGAAGTGTGGTGACAGGACAAACATTCCTGGGAAACATCAGTTGTATGCAGATGGAAAATGACTGTTTTGCAACCCTGCCATAAAAGGCAACATATGAAAGCAAGGATTTCCAGAATTTTGTCAATGTCCTTCATACCACTACTAGGGGTGACTGACTGTTGGACTAAGCAATTCCCCAGAGAGCATGCCTTTAAAAAGCTTTGTAAAAGAAAATTTACATGTTGTAAAATAAAAATACACATAATTTTTTAAGTTTGTTTCATGCAGGGAATTTTTTCTGAACAGAGGCAATCTCTTAAAAACAATGAATAAAACAAACTGTTGAGAAAATAGCAAATACAGCAAAATGCTAGTGCTAGCTTTTTAATTGGATCAGTTGGTCAAGATTCATCAGGAGTAGGAGAGAAGCAGTGGCACACTCAGGATTTAATCTTCGAGGAACCAAGTTGAATGAATAAAAAATGTTTTAATGCAAATTCAATAAAATTTCCATCATGTGTGACGTGACCACTAATTCATTAGTAGTAAAAAATAGAAGACATGACCCAATATAATAAATTAAATTTTAATTAGAAAATTTTCCAAAAATCTTTTCCTAGTGTTTTTTTTTCCCTTTTTTCTTTAGAGGGTGCCAGGATCCCTTGGTCCCACTCTGGGTGCACCACTGGAGAGAAGGATAGCATTCACACAACAACATGGTGGATAATGCATCAAACATATATCAAACTTGTGATTGATCTTGATAAAGATTTGATGGATTTTAGATAGGTTACAATTACATATACAGAACTAGAAAAATACTAAGCTCAGGAAATAATTAACTAATTGCAAGATTTATTTAACTTTGGAAGCTGGAAGACTGGGTAGTATAACTGATACTCATCTGCATGGTATCAAGAGTTAGGAGTTAGTTTTTAATCCCACTCCAGACCAATCTTTTCTTCCAGAATATTCTAAATTATAATTGTGTTTATACATTTTTCGACCATCTTGTATTTACAATTTGTATTAAATGTTTAACATGAGATTCACACAAGATAGTAAAAAAGAGAGAGTTTCTGAAAGACACTTTTTAATATGAATAAAAATAATCTGAAGATTATATTATAGCCATTTTTTCTAACATATCCAATGAATATTTGAATTTTTTGTTAACATGTCTTTACATCTGAATAATGTGTAATAAAACTTAAGAAAAAGAATTCTCAAATATCCTGTTATAACAGATACTGATATGAAGAATTAATCAGAAACAATTAAATTCATATATATGCAGTTAAAATTAAAGTTTTCATTTTATTATATTGTCAAGCTATCTAAAGAGTTGCTTAACATGGAAATTTTTTATAGTATCATTGCATAAGAGTACAATTCCTTTTACCTTCTTTTCACTCTCTTCTTACTCTAAGGATACTAATTAAATAAACTTGTCACAAGAAGAAATAAGTACATACCTCTTAATTTTTGCAGTATGAGGTTTTCCATCATCTACTTTCACTGAAGATTTTATTTCAGAGGCACCACTGCCAAGTTCATAGCTAACATAAAAACAATTTTTTAATATCTAAAAGAATAACTATATTAAATCATAATAAAAAAATTTTTACCTAAATTCTAGATAACCATCAACAATAGCCAAAGCCAAATAATCTTGACCTTTGCCATCAGTATGAGGTTTCTGTCCTTGGAATAGCAATAATCCATCACTTTTTGTGGTCATAAAAGTAATAGTAATTTCTTCTGTCTCATTAATGGAGGAATGAGAACTTCGAGGTAATAAAGACTGTGGTAATGACAGATATCCATCTCCTTCAAACATGGCTTCATCATCAAAACTGGTACTTTGATCACATCTTAATCCAGTTCTCCCTAGTGGACAGTGGCATTTGAAAGTTCCACCAACATCAATGCAAGTGGATCCTTCTGCACAAGGAGTCATTAATTGACAGAAGTCATTCTCTACTTCACAATTACTACCTAAAAAATACAAAAATGTTTTATATATATTTCTTGAAAAAATAAAATTTTTGGTAGCAATATCAAATTTATAAGTTTTTGCAAAAACTCATAAGTTAAACATTTCAATTTTTGAAAGTACTAATAATTTGTCATTTTAACATTATCTGATCAATAAACAAACTGATATTTAAATAAAACAAACAATTCAAGTAAAACTTTTGACTGAATAGTTTTGCAATGTTAACATCTCAGATTTATTTTCGTTTGATCTTCACTTCATCTCTGTTAATGTTGGCCAAATAATTATTTTCTTTCATAGACATTAAAGATTAATTTTAATTGTTTCAATTTTCTCTATTATTTTTTTCCTCCTCCTGGTATTTAGTAAGGACTTGTTTTGAGTTTTCTCTTCTTTTCAGCTTATATGGACTCAACCTGTTATCACTTAGTCTGTTTCTATTGCTTATGCTGATTAATTGTGATGTTTCTTGTCTTTAACTTGATATCAATAAATTCTGCAGTCAGTATACAAGATACAATTTACAGGTTAATCAACAAAAAAAAAACAGTCCTCATGACTGTTTTTTCCTTTTAAGCTTGACCTGTCTCATCATAACTTCTTAAAGCAACCAAAGCTGAATTAACAGGCTAGAAGTGACTATAATAATAATAATAATTTAAGATAATTTGGTATTAGAGTTAGGCGTTAGGTGCCATCTCATGCTAAATTTAATTATAATTTTAATTAGTTCTATACTTATTTAAATTATTTAACTGGAAGAAAAGAATAGGCCTGGAGCAGGACTCAAACCTGCAACTTTGCTTACCATGCAGATGCATTGCCAATTACACTACTCAGACCTCTAGTTCAATCTCCTCTTCCAGTATATATAAGCACATGTTACGACCATCCATGACCATTACAATGCCGACTGGGGACATATTAAGTGCCTATGTCCTCCAAGGCACTCAATCAGCCATCGCAACCCTGGCAAGGCATATATATATACAGTAGAACCTCCATTATCCGGACCTCCATTATCCGGATTTTCGATTATCCGGATTGTTCAAAATAAACAAAAATTTTACGAATTTGCTGATTTGCACTTGGCGAATTACGACACTGTTTATGTACGTGATGGAATGCATAACTTTTTTT